TTCCTTCCTGTGATTTCTTTCCAATAGAACAACTGCCACCCTATCTTTCCACCATCTCTGTGATCTCGGCCAAGACCAGCATAAGTGCCTCACGTCTTCAAAAGGCCCACTGGCATCTGGCGCAGATGCTTGCTACCTGTGACATGCCCCTCTTGACTGTAGCCACATGGCAGTTGATACCACTACGTGTGACACTGTAGCCATAGGTGTGACACTGTACCACTTGGTGTGACTCACCACATGAGCTGAGTACCACTAGGTGTGACACTTTAACACTAGTAAAGAGAGGCTAACGTTTTTGAAGGTAAGCATTTTTGAGTTGTTTCCATAAATAAATAAGTTACTCTGCTCGTGTGCTTCCGGCGGTGCTATGGCTGAGATTGTACTTTCTCATCGATTGTTGACCCGCTTTTGCAAAAATATTTGTATTTTGTTTTCCGCAATTGATTTTGTTCGTCCGTGCGCTGCTGCTGCAGATAGGAGGTAGAAGGATACGGCGGCGATTCAGTGGGTGGAAAGAGACAAGAGAAGCCATCATCCATCGATCTTGGGCGATCGTTCGGTCCTCTGTGGTTTGGAGTCCGATTTTTGTTTCTGTTTGAACAGTCCTAGGGAGGGAGTGCAAAATGCGGAAGAGGGACTTAGCAGTCCTGCTCTTAGCTGCGTTTGCTGTCTTCTACTCAGTGCAGGTCAGTTCTCTTTTTTTTTTTTCTTTTCTTTTCTTTTCTTTTCTTTTCTTTTCTTTTCTTTTCTTTTTTTTTTTTTTTTTTTTTTTGGGGAAGACGCACTCTGGCCCCTCTTCTACTCTGTGGGGGCCACCAGTCCGGTTACTTATCCCTGGCAAGCCCCCTCAAATTTCAGGGCTGGTATCTGGCCGGGGTGGTAAGAGCACTACCACCCCAGTTATCAGCCCCCCCTTTCGTGAGGGGTGCTCCTTTCTATTGGTTGGTGGGGAGCTGCACCTGCTGGAAAACGGGTCCTTCGTCCCTTAGATCAAATCTTTGCCCTTAACACCATTAGCTCCTGTGACTATGGTAGATACCCAGCTGCTTCCATCGTTCTCTAGTGACTTAAGCCCCTGAAGACGCCCCCAGTGTTGTCGGGCACTGTCTGGAGTGCAGGTCAGTGCTTGCATTCCCCTTGAATTGAAATGGGTCAAGCTGCTTCACAGCAAACCCACGGCTGTGGCCGAGGGGTATGGAGCACAACTTGGGAGGGGGTGGAAATGCACATAAAAGAAACGTACACGGGGAAAGAGTGCACGGAATGACAATGACGCAAAGAGGGGACAGTGGAAGCAAAGATAAAGAGGTTTTGGCAAAATGCTCAAGCTTGTCTGTTTCTCTGTTGGTATCTCCCGTTCCCTGATTTGCCTTTTGATGTTTGTGTTTGTCCCTCTCTCTCTCTCTCTCTCTCTCTCTCTCTCTCTCTCTCTCTCTCTCTCTCTCTCTGTGTTCCCATCTCTGTTCCCATCTCTGTTTCCATCTCTGTTTTTTTTTTTTTTTGGTTGTTTTGTTTTTCCTCCCTCTCTCTCTCTCTCCCCTACCCCTCCTCCCCTCTCCTCCCATATCTGTGTGGTATCCCTTAGGCCAAGTCCAAACTACCTGAATTCTCGGTTTGCGACCGTTGATTCTGAAGACAGCGGCCAGAAATGAAGAATCTCAAGTGGGACTTGACCCCCGGTCTTCTTCGGTTTCCAGTGTCCTTGCCTCAGTGTCTGTGTTGCGGGATGGATTGCGCCCAGTGAATAAAAAAGAACGAAAAATGATCAAATGCTCAAAGACAGCAATGCATTTTATGGTCTCTCTCTCTCTCTCTCTCTCTCTCTCTCTCTCTCTCTCTGTGTCTTTGGGAGCGATGGATGAATGGACTCCTGAAGGCGACAAAATCAATTTGCCGAGAAGAAAGGCCGGAACAGCGGAAAGTCGGATCAGAGAAAAAAGCAGGAGCTTTTCATCTCCCTCTCTCTCCCCCTCCCTCCCTCCCTCCCTCCCTCCCTCCCTCCCTCCCTCTCTCGCTTCTCTCTCTGTCTCTGCCTCTTGCTCCTACTCATATGTCTGTGTGTGCTATCTCTGTGTAAGCATGCATGTGTGCACGAGGTAGAGACAAATCTCTCCCTCTCCCTCTCCCTCTCCCTCTCCCTCCCTCCCTCCCTCCCTCCCTCTCTCGCTTCTCTCTCGGTCTCTTGCTCCTACTTATATGTCTGCGTGCCAGTGTGTGTGTTTTCTTTCTGTACGCACGCATGTGTGCACGAGGTGCATGACATTGAGTAATCGTGTATAAACACATGCCGGTTTCCATTCAATGATGATGTTGATCATTGGCGTACTGTCCTCTGCTGACCTTTTCTCTTCTGACCTCAGCGGCAGATTGCCTTTGCTAGAGTCTCCCCTATCCACCACTGGCAAAGAACCAGGGCCCACTGGTGCTATGTTGATGCTCGTAAAGCATGGACGTGGTCGAAAAAATGGGCAGGTTCATGCTTCCTTTTATTTTAGTATAAACATAGTATCAGACCGAGTTGGCTGTAAGTGCCAGGCCCTGCTGTTACCATGTTCATTCTTCCAAAGCATCACCCACTTGCTGTCTCTTCTCTCTCTCTCTCTCTCTCTCTCTCTCTCTCTCTCTCTCTCTCTCTCTCTCTCTCTCTATCTATCTATCTATCTATCTGTTTCTGTGTATATGTATATATCACCCTCACAATCAGGACTGGGTGGGCGATCATTCCATCCCTTCCTGTGGCCCACGGTTCCCTCCCGGCCCTTCCCATCGTGACGAAGTTGCAATCCCCTGCCTCGATTTCCTTCTGCCTCCTCTTCCTCCACCTCCCCCTCCTCCTCCTCCTCCTCCTCCTCTTCCTCTTCCTCTCCCCCCCAACCCCCACCTCCTTCCCCCCCAAGTAAGCAATTTGTTAATCTGGCGACCATTATATATAATACAGTTTTAATACTCTGTGAGGTGCAGGAAATAAATAGTTTGGTAAGTCCACTAATTTGGTAAACAATACATTGTCAGGAAAACGAAAATAGGGAAAACACCCTTTTAGGAAAACCAACAATAATGAGGCTGGGAAGTAAGAAATTTACTGAATTAGTGCACAATATACCCTTTTAGGAAAACCAACAATCAAATCCAGTCAGCAAACAATCTTCTGGTGGACAGAACACTTGGAACCTGACTGGAATTTTTTTTTTTTTGGCTCCAGGAAATGTGTTTGATATATTTGGTTCTCGCGGAGTGGGATGTGAACTTACTGTGTGGCGTTATATCTGCTTTGTCATGGAACAAATGATGTATTCATGGGATCTCCAGCATGAAGGTGGTCTTCATTTTAAACAAGCATGGTACATCGTTGGTGATGAACCGGGGCCATTCGCGCATGAGAGCGAGAAAGTGCCCCTTCCACTTGTCACGGATTTAAATGGCGATGGCCGGAATGAAATTGTTGTAGCAACCCATGATGCCAAGATTCAGGTATGCTCCTCTCTCTCTCTCTCTCTCTCTCTCTCTCTCTCTCTCTCTCTCTCTCTCTCTCTCTCTCTCTCTCTCTCTCTCTCTCTCT